TAGTAACCAGGCGTTGGAAGCGAGTTGGGAACGACGAGGCTGGTATTCATCTAACCAAAGGGTTAGAACGTCACACTTGGAGCAGCGAGGAGCGAACAGCTGGCGTCGCGAACGAGATCGAACGACAGAGTCGACGCTGCGACCAGGGGGGACGACGTCACAAATGGTGCCGTGAACAGGATCAACCCTGGACCAAGTCACGTCACACCGGGTATTGAACTCACACTCTTTGGGTCCTGTCACTGGATCTAAGTAATGCCTTTATCCACTGTGCCATGGAGATAACTAATAAATGGCATCCATTAGACATGGCACGTGGAACTAGAACAATCTACCCCAGTGAGCGAAATAAAGAGTTCAGTTCGACATTCCAACCGCCTGAAGAAGGCCGGAGCGTACAAACACCGAAACGTTGTAATAAATATGGCGTCAAAGATGTAGACAATAGTCCGAATAATGTAAATAGTGTACATAATACCTCATCTCAGAAATATATATATATATATATATATATATATATATATGTGTGTGTGTGTGTGTGTGAGTGTATATATATATGACGTTATATTGGCTCCTGAAAAATTACTTTCAGTTGAGCTCTCTGGGGAGGAGGTGTGGGTTGGCAAACATTGACTATTATAGCTATATAGCGAGACTCTTCGCAAAAGCGAATTGAGTCACTGTCGGTCACTGGGCGTGTTTCTAAAAATAAATATGCTTAAATCCACCTTCATCCCTACTGCCAACGGCTTAATGGTTAGAATCTCCGACTGACGCCAATTCGGTCGGGTTTCGATCTTAGTCTAGCTACACTGATGCGCTGTGAAACAGCGTAACAGTCTGTCTGTGGATGACGTTATATATATATATATATATATATGTGTGTGTGTGTGTGTGTGTGGAATAGGTTATATATGTATATATATATATATATATATATAACTCATTCTATCTTTAAAAAAACATGATCTGCGGACGAAAAGAGAAACGGGTTGGCCAAGGAAATGAAAATAAATGACATCAAATAACTGATGTCATCAAATAAGTAATAAATCACCGGAGATAAACAAATCTTTACCCCCAAAAAGAAAGACTATCACTAAAGTAACAATGAACAATAATGACGTCGTTACGAAAGGAAAAAATAAACAAGATGGCGCGGCCAGACATGGTAGGAAAAAAAGTAAGAAATGTATAAAATTACAAAAAAAAAAAAAAATCAAGAATTAAGATCAATTATTGTTCCAAATGTATTAAGCTTTTCTCTAAGTAAAATTGATACTGAAGTTTGCTGTCAGCATTTTCGTTCTTGTAGTTACTTTTTTGTCAAAAAGAGATTAAGTTTTATCTACTTGGCCATTCAGAGAGAAAATTAAAAAATAACGAGGTTAGAGTAAAACTTATTCTCGTCTCTATTCTTCGCTTTTTTTTCTGAGGAAATTACTCACAGATAAATTCTGATATTATAGAGATTACCGCACGGATTGATCTCGAGGTTTACTCTTCGCAAAGTAAGACAAAGAAAGTCAAATACGAAAGGAAAACGCGAAAAGTTGAGACACATTTTTTAACGTTTAATATTTTGCATCTTGGTCGAACCTCATAGTATTGATAATTCCTTGTCATTTCGAATTCATCTCAGGTTTTCAATGTTAATGATGCACACCACATGTGCTGCATATAAATATAAATATTTTTATGGATTTTGAATTGATTCACGACTTTTATGTTTGAAGTTGCGGATCAGTAAGAAAAGATTAATTAAGATGGATTTATTAGGTTATTAAATTCAACTAATTTCAATGATCCCAAGAATTTAGGAGACATTATGAAGAAGACTCTGCTAAAATCGTGTTCTTGGATTTGCCCAAATAACTGTAACATATTCGACAGAATTTGACGTATGTTTTTATTTCCGAATCAAGAAAAAAACAAATTTCCAGAACCATTCTAAAATCGTTTAAAATTATGTCATGTGCCATGTCACTTCAGAGCATGAACGATTAGAATTCTTCACAATTTCCTGTGCCTTGCAACTCTAAGTAATGTTTACCTCCTATGCCTCTTTGCTCCTGATGTGCCATCTATTTATCTAAACTTATTACATAGCTTAATTTCTGATTTCCTCTTCAACTTCTTGCTTTAATATACCCTGTAAGTGTTAATATCTCTGCAACCTTTTTCCTCATTATGCGTCCTAGACATTTTAGCTGTCATTTTCTGATTTTAAATATCCTTTCAATTACCATTTTCTTTGTTATTTGTGTACCTTATGTTGTTAAGATTATAACCACTAATAATAAATCCTTTTCTAAAAGCAGACCTAGCATCTGATTCTATATAATTAATCCATCTCATGTCAGCAGAAAACGTGAGACCATGAATTTCTCGCCTGGAGGTTAGCATCAGCCATCTCTAAGGATCGTTCCTCTGTATAGGTTAAATAAATTCAGTGAGAAAATGTTTATACAGCAACTATGTTGAGCAGACTTCAGAGTTTCTGGGAGAGAGTGAATAATTTGGCTTGCTTAGTACACCCTAGCCCTCGGAGTTTTTAACTATTTCCTAACAAAACAACACGCCGAAGTTCTCGATGATTTACCTGCAAGGACAACCAACAACAGTTCCGTCTACCCAATTTCACCCACAAGGCTTGGCTCCGTCTGTAGTGTAGTTTTCAAGCACTTTCCAAAGATAATGCGTATGGGTTATCTCGCTTTCTAAGCCTACAGACTCAGAAAGTCACCTCACTGACCAATCGTAAGATTCTCATAGTCAAAATGTGAACGTCCTATTCACTCGTCCACTACAGCAACCTTATTGAAATCGTTTAAAGTTTATAGCTTCTCTCTTACAATCTCATCTGTTCTGTTTAACCTGTCCAGTGCGAATCTTAGCTCAGATTTTAATATTGCCGGTTCTTTCCTGTTTTTATGCACTGAGAGTTTAATTCGTCTGTCTTCGTGGAAGAGTCATTCGACATATAGGTTTCATCTTTGAAATGCCTCGCCTTTTTTTTAATTTATGAGACGTTGATTTGTTGTTACTCCCGAAAATGTCTGTTTAGTCATGACAACGTTCGTGCTTCATGTAAGCAAAGAAAATCGAACAATAAACGAATTCTTTCTCGATTTTCTTTTATCTTCTCGAAATATTTACACAGCTCAGCGAAAATTTTAAAAACAGAAATTAGACAACCCTTTTTGTGGGAGCGCATTCATCAGCTGAGGAAAATACCGGTTCAAAATATGGGGATTTACTTATGTTTACACATCGAATTCTGTCACTGATGAGGAATATGTTTTTATTTTTTCTTTCTTGCATTCACGTTCGTTTTATATTCAGAGCTTCTATTTTCTTTAAATTAATATTTTTCTTCCTGTTATTTTTATTTCCACGTTTTTTTTTATTTATTCGCTGTTCTCCCACGATACAATTTAATTTTGGATATCCCTCTCTCCTTTCCTTCTTGTTTTTTCTTCTTCTTCTTCTTCTTTTTTCTTCTTCTTCTTGTTTCTTCTTCTTCTTCTTTTTCTTCTTCTTCTTCTTCTTTTTCTTCTTCTTCTTCTTCTTTTTCTTCTTCTTCTTGTTTCTTCTTCTTCTTCTTTTTCTTCTTCTTCTTCTTGTTTTTCTTCTTCTTCTTGTTCTTTTTGTTTTTCTTCTTTTTCTTGTTCTTTTTCTTATTCTTGTTTTTCTTCTTCTTGTTTTCTTCTTGTTGTTCTTTTTCTTCTTCTTTTTCTTCTTCTTCTTGCTTTCTTGTTCTTTTTCTTCTTCTTGTTTTCTTATTTTTCTTCTTCTTCTTGTTTTTCTTGTTCTTGTTCTTCTTGTTTTTCTTCTTCTTCTTGTTTTCCTTCTTCTTGTTCTTGTTCTTCTTCTTCTTGTTCTTCTTTTTCTTGTTCTTTTTCTTCTTCTTCTTCTTCTTGTTTTTCTTCTTCTTCTTCTTGTTCTTTTTGTTTTTTTTCTTCTTCTTCTTCTTTTTCTTGTTCTTTTTCTTATTCTTGCTTTTCTTCTTCTTCTTTTTCTTCTTCTTGTTTTCTTGTTCTTGTTCTTTTTCTTCTTCTTTTTCTTCTTTTTCTTGCTTTCTTGTTCTTTTTCTTGTTCTTGTTCTTTTTCTTCTTCTTGTTTTCTTATTTTTCTCCTTCTTCTTGTTTTTCTTGTTCTTGTTCTTCTTGTTTTTCTTCTTCTTGTTTTCCTTCTTCTTCTTCTTCTTCTTGTTCTTCTTTTTCTTGTTCTTGTTCTTTTTCATCTTCTTCTTCTTCTTCTTCTTGTTCTTCTTTTTCTTGTTTTTGTTCTTTTTCATCTTCTTCTTCTTCTTCTTCTTCTTCTTCTTCTTGTTTTCCTTCTTCTTCTTCTTCTTCTTCTTCTTCTTGTTCTTCTTTTTCTTGTTCTTTTTCATCTTCTTCTTCTTCTTCTTCTTCTTGTTTTCCTTCTTCTTCTTCTTCTTCTTCTTGTTCTTCTTTTTCTTGTTCTTTTTCATCTTCTTCTTCTTGTTTTTCTTGTTCTTGTTCTTATTCATTTTCTTATTCTTCTTCTATTTAATAAATATAAAATCAATAAATATTAAAATGACGCACAAATAGGAATAAAGTCATGTTGGAAAATGACGATTAAATCTGAGGCTATATTTCTAACAAAGTTTCTCAATTATGGCAAAAGGACATGGACATGCGTCTCACTGGCTTAAGGTTTTATTTATTTATTTATTTATTTTGCAAGTCACTACTTCCTTCTACACCACCACTTGGAAATCTTCAATTCAAACTTAGTTCTCAGAAATATTTTTAAAAAGCTGATTCTCCTAAATCCATTTTCTGACATTGTACTGATAAAAAAAAACTTCGATATTTGCAGTAAAAATAATTCTCCAAATGGTATAAAGAGAGATGATTTTTATTAGGAAAATCGAAAAAGAGAAATATCGTGTTTGACGCTACAGAAAAAACCTTTTTTCCACGTATGGTGGACGGACTAAATGCAGCCATAGAATTTTATATGTAGATTTACTGAAAATGACAAAATAAAAAATGAGAAAGAAAGAAAGAAAGAGGAAAAGAAATAAAGTAAGAAAGAAAAAACGCCTATGGAGAATGGGAAATACTGGAAAAGGATGAAAATTAGAAAAAAAATTAAAAAGATAGCGAAAAATAAATAAGAAAAAAGAAAATATAAAAGAAGGAATTAAACATTTTTTTAAAGGTTAAGTCAAGAAAATAAGACATAAGAAATAAGGAACAATGTAAAATGAAAGAAAATGTGTGAAAATAAAAAAAGAAATTGGGCATAGCAAAAGAAAGCTTTTTAGATAGAAAGAAAAAAGTGAAATAATGGAAGAAAAATCAATCAAAGAACGAATAAATGTGAGAAAGACTTTAAAGAATAACAATTGACTTCTTTAATTTTCATTCAATCCACTGAAGAAGAACAAATCAAATTTTCCTTTCCAAACACGTTTGGAGTTAATCAAATTCATTTCTGTTCTTTCATTGCGTTTAGAAACGTGAGAAAGAAATGAAGTCTTATCGTTTTCAGATGAACATCTTTCGTTTTCGGGTCAGAAAAAGAATTCAGTTGCAACATAAAAAAGAAATTGCACAGAAAGTATGAAAACAAACAAACATGTTACAAAACGAATAAATATATCGTTCCTCGTCATAACCATAATATTATTATATTGTTATTTTTTCCCTCTGTGTCTTCAAAGTCCCGGATAAAAATAAGAAAACCGTCAGTACAGAACAGCATGAACAAAAAATATTCACAGAATTGCTTACTTTGATGTTCGTTAAATGGAAGTTCTACTGTATTTCGTATATTTTTACGTAAGAAAAAATTTAAAATAGATGCAAGAAGCATTTGAAGACTGTTTTGTGCATTGTCAAAAAATAAAAATAAAAACCAAAAAAACAAAACAAGGCAGTATTTTTAAAAGAATCATTGCATATTGAAGCACTTACACAGTTTCCATTTATCAGTGGGACAAATTCTTAGTAAACTCTTTTATTAAATAAAGCTTGACATTGATTATGGCCTGGGTCACATAAATCAGTAAGATACACTCCTGATCAAAAATTTAAGACCACATGAAAATTTTTTTAAAAAGACTATTTTTAATGAAAAAATTTTAAACATTTCTTACTTAAGGTTACTAATTTTATAATCTAAAAGGTTATGTAGACATAAAATTTATAATCCGATCAATTTATTCAGAAATGGGCATTTTTATAAAATGAGGCGTTTTTGCGGGGTGGGGGGGTTTCATTCCCTCCCTTCTCATTCTATTCATTCATAATTTTTTAAGTATATATTCTATAATCATTTGATTTTTATGGCATTGGGGGGGGGGCCTTTTGTAGGTCTCCCCTTGAGAGGATTGCGGTATTGTGGTGTACGGAGGATTGACTGGTGACGGGCGAGTTTTTATGGTGAATGTTGAAACTGTAATGTGTGAATGGATCGGGAATCAGATTAACCGAGGTAGAGGATAGGTAGTGATTACCAGCCTTAACCCCTCCTCATTTTGGCTTTGTGCCGCAATTGTATTTTAAATACAATAAATAATAATTCAGATATGAAAAAAGAACCAAATGCCACCTTATTTTTTCTTGATAATCTGATAATTTTTATATTACCTACAAACTCCATAATTCATGAACTTGAAAAAATAGCTAATTTCAATATAAATATTATTACGGACATTTCAAAAATAGATAAAAATGTAACTAGTGTAAAATAGCAACTTTTAAATCAGAACCAAGTATTAACAAAATAGAATGAAAACAATATTCACCCAACCTTAATTTTAATAAAGAATATGTGAACATGAAAGGTATTTCAAATTAAACACCACATTCAATGAACTTATAAACTTCATGACCACAATTTTGTCCTCGAAATCTCAGCTTTAATAAAAAATGAAATATAATTTATTCAAACAAAAATGCATTAAACCATAAAATCTCAGATGGAGAAAGAAAAAGAGACAAGATGTGCCAAGTATGAGAAAAACTATCTTTAGCGATCTAGAAATATAAAATGACCTAATGAAATGTTATGTAACATACGCCAAATTTAATATTGTCATTACTCTTGTTGAAATATCGAGAGCATTACTATTCCAACTTCCAATCCGACAAAGGAAATTACATGGTGAACCGTGTTTATGGTAGTAGAGAGATTTGAGGAGAGTGAGCATCTTGAAAGTGTTTCTGTGAACAGGAGAAGCAACAACTAGGGTCTGCATAAACCCCACATAGTGAATTATCCAGAATTCATGTCTTCTACGATATTCTTGGGATCTGTCTATATTTCTGAGATGAGGCATTATGTACATTATTTACATTATTCGGACTATTGTCCTCATCTTTGTCACCATATTTATCAAACAATTTCGGCCCTTCAGTATCTGTCTATATTTCTGAGATGAGATATTATGTACACTATTTACATTATATCGGCTCATCTTTGTTGCCATATTTATCACAACGTTTCAACAACATTGTA